CTTGCAGAATGGGCACCTCCTATTAAATACCAAAAAGTGTTAGTTACTGATTTTTATTAGCATAAGAATAGTTTTCAACAAATTTAAAGCAAGTCAAAAAAACTCGAAATATAACACAACTCTTTCTGATGCTGTTAACTCATGTACCATATTTGGATATGACCATATTGTGACCTCCGGCAAATATATTTTATTGCAATTACTTAGCTACAACATCAAAAAGAACAACATTACTTATATATACATCTCGTGTCCCCATGCCGATGTCTGACCTTTACTGTGGATGATCTCACTCAACAACAATTGTGTTGAAGATATTTTGTACAGATATGAAAAATCACATCTGAAAAAAGTATAAGACCTTCAGCTGGATTATTTTTCTGCATGCTGAAGGTAATTAATCTGCTTACCTGTATAGATATATAACACACTTATTTAGGCCTTTGAAATAAGGTTTCTGTCTGCGTGTTTATAAATGGTGGGTTTGTATCTTGTTTCACATTCATGCACTTATCAAAAAAGTTTTAAAAAATTCAGGACAAAGGACTTCAAACTGTCCTTAGGGTCTGTCAACACAGAATTTATAGTTTATCTCAGCCCAAGCAGTTGCACGCACAAATAGTTCCTCCTCCTGCCTGGAGTGCTATTGGATACATTGCTTTTCATATTCCACCTTAGCCAGCAAGTCTATAGGGAACAAAGAATAAATATATTACCTATCACAGGTGACAGGGATGTTGAGCAGCTTGCCTCCGATTAGGTTATTGGCTAAAGGAACAGAATAAAGAGCAGATGCAGCTATGCGGAGGCAGCCAGTATTTAGAGACCCATCTTCTTTGCATTGTTTGCACACATTTTATGTTTTACTAGGAATTACAGTGCCCGGTACATGCTTTACCTAGTATTCTCAACTGAAATCTCCAGCAGTTACAAAAAAAAATTACCAATCTACAAGAGGCTTGAGGTTTCTGCATATTTAAGTCACCCACCCTTTAGCAGCCACAGCTTGTATACACTGGATACTTCTGTAATCCTGCACACAGGAATCACAAAAAGGCTTCAAGGTCTGTACCAACAGTAACAGACAAATGCAAACTCCTCATTTTTAACAGAGTTAAACAGTTTGGTAATATTTTTTTTTTTTCCTATCTCAATGACTAAAACAACAAAAAGTGCGAAGCATGCTATTGTGACAAGAACTTAAACTCAAAGTTTTTCACAAATTAGTTTGTCTGCATCAGGATGAGAACACAAACTTGCCTGCCGTGAAACATTTAAATATTCTTCCCTTTTAACAGGGCTGTCCTTCATGTCTGTCAAATAATACAGCTACAACTTACAAATATGAAAAGTAGAAATGGCCATTTCTAAATGAGAACAAGTTCGTAAGAATAGACAGAAAACAAATTATGCTGAATGTGGAAATGCCTTGTATTAATTTAGCACATAACTTCTCAAATAAAAATTTTAAAATTCTCTCACTCCAGTTATGGACAGCCTCTATAAATTAACTTCTCAGAATAAAGAGCAAATGTTCAGACAGAAAGCTCCTTTTAGTCTTGTAAGTATTACGAGTTCAATCTGTCAGAATTGTCCTTATTTAACCATATAATACATTAGAAATGTATTGAAATGTATTAATTTACCGTCTCTAAACTGGCACAAAACCTACTAATTTCCACTTTAAAATGCGGATCATGGAAAAAAAGTAATCATGCTATTTCCCAGAACAGTATCTGCCTAGAATTAATTTAATACTGCCATTTTACAAGAACAAACAGATGTCAGAAACCTGTGACACAGATTAATTTGCAAATTAGGCCAACATGTTATCATTAACTTTCCAAGTTAACAACTCCCCTCTACAACTTACAATAAAAATCCAATAACCAGAATTTTTGAGAAGTTCAGTTTAATTTTTTATTTCATTTCTGAAGATTCCCTATAGGCTCATAATCCCATCTCAGTATAATTGAATATAACTTATATTTTTAAAACTGAGAAATTAAATCTTAATACATAAACAGTTGAAGACATAGATAAAGCATGTAAAAAAAAAAAATAGATTTTTAAGTACAATCCAAAATCAAACTATTGAATTAATATGCAAGAAATTGTGGAAGCAGACATGAGCACTAGGGCTTCAGGCTTTTCAGAGAATTTTCTATCAGATTGTTTTCCCACTAAACAGCAAGATTTCTTTGAAATAATAGTTCATCCAAATATCATTTACTATTAAACATGCATTCTAAACAATAAAAAAAAAAGACAGCAAAGAATTAAAGCAACAATGATTTAGGAAAGCACAGCTGAGAGCTCACTGGATTTTGCATTAAATCCATTGCAAAATATTTCTGACAGTTCTGAAAGGGTGAAGGAGTTGGGGTTTTGGTGTGGTGGGGTTCAATTTGGGTTTTTTCTTTTTTTTTTTTTTTTTTAAGACACTTGGGAAAAAAATATATATTCCTTAAAATTTGCAGCACTAACAACAACAAACTAAACAACTAGCCCTGGAAAGACAGTTGCACCCAACTGTGGCAAGCAGCAGAACACTTATAGAATTTTAAATATTTCTTTTAATAATTGATGTAGTCATTTTGAATCTTTCTGCACAGGATATAACATGTGAGTAGATTGCATTAACACTGCTTAAACATTTCAACTTGTCAGTATGGCCAAGTCGATTTCTGAAATATTTGCAGTATTTTCCCATCGAAACAGTAATAAAGGTAGAATAAATATATGCCACTGCTTTATAATCACTGAACATTAATGAATATTTTATGTCTTTTTAAATCTCCCTGTTTAATTTAAAAGGGTGAAATTAAGTCTCCTCCCTGCAATATGCCAATTATCTGTAAATCAAACAATAACTTGGCCATTATACTCCTTTTTGTTAATATCCCAGAAGCTAATTTGAAAACGCCGAGCAGCATTTTTAGGCAATAATTGAATAGTCCTTCCTGCCCTCTTGCGGCTGGCAACTGCAACTCGCACAGAGCTTTGCCACGACGACAAAAATACACCAGAAGGAAAGTAAACTATTAATTTGTTAAAGTGCGAACGAGAGAGTGAAGGAAAAAAATAATTAAAAAAAAAAAAAAATCTAACATCCCCTGGAGAGGAGAGAGACAAAGGAGAGAAGAGAAGGAAAGACATCACCAATTCCTCCAAATTGCACAGACTAACTAGATTCATCAGTCATTTGCTACAATGCTCACCCTATGCTAAAAGAAAAAAAAAAATTAAAAAGCCACTAGGGAGTTAACATACAAAATAGTACTTGTTTTCTATAATTAGACAAATGTTCAGCAACCCTTTTACCTCAGCCAAACCCCCTGTGATTTCCACGAGACTTTGCACAGACATATTCACCTGCTCAGCACCAGTTACCCAAGAAGGTCCAGAGTTCTCTTTTCATTTTAGCCTCTGAAATTGTCTTCATTATTTTAAACACCATATTGGATGCAATACTTAGATACAAGACAGAAAGGCAAAGAAAGGTTTGATGCTCATGCTGATTATGTGGTGGTAGGGGTTTTTTAAATTTTGGTTGTTTAATGGGGAAAATCATACGTGACTTCTAAATTAAGTCGACCTTAGAAGTTAATATGTTGACTGTAACCTGCCATTACCAACAAACAAGAAAACTTCAGTGCATGTAAAGCCTAGATTCCCATGCACTATCACAGCTAGCTGATTTCTCTAAGCCAGGTAAGACCCACCAGCAAAGCAGTAATTTATATAGCACAGACAAAAAACAGACAATATGTATGTACATACGTTTCCTTTCAGAAACTCACCATTTTTAAAATTAAAAACAAATATTCTGATCATTTGTTTCCATAAATATTCAAATTATTTTTAATTGTAAAGAGTCAGAGATGGGCGCCTCAAAAACCAAACTGATGAAACTGTTTGTTTATATTATTTATAAAAAAAAAAAGAATCCCAGAACTTACTGTAATAGGTTTAAAAAGGTAAAGTAGAAAACCAGCTTTCACGCAGAGGAAAGATCAGATTTTGGATCTTAAGAATAACAGAATTTACAATGAAAACGGTTAATCAGCATTTTTCATTGTTCTATGAGATATTGCTCCTATATCTAATATTACAGAACTCAAAATAATTCTGTCTACAATGTCAGCATGTGACACGAAAAACTTCAGTAAAATCTGTTTAAGCCTAAAAGACTGAAAGGACTGTCAGACCAATAGCAAACATACATTTAATTTGAAAAGCAAACATTTGATTTGAATATTTTGCAATGTGAATTCTGAGGATTCACATTTCTAGACTGTTTGTCATGTTTCCAGAAGTTTGTGGGTTATATGGAAAATAATAACCACAACATCTGGCATTAGACATACCATGGGGCATTAGACAACCACCTTTGGCTTTAGAAAGGAGTTTTAAAAATACGCAAGGGCTGCTTGTTCTGAATTCAGAGGGTCCAGAGTCGTACTAAAGATACTTCTTCCTGTAGGACTTCGTTCTGACGAACTTCTCTACAATATCACCCCTTGCTGGCCGTTCTATAGAACGGCAGCGACATCCATTATACACAAAACCATTTGGCTACCAAGGCAGGAAGAATTACAGCACTACGATAGAAACCAGTAATGGTAGAGGTGCCTGCAAAATGCAGATGGAGCTGGTTACAAGAAGGGAAGACAGAGGGAGAGCTTCAAGGGGCTTAAATATAAAATGTAATTTGAATAACTGCTTTTCTTCATCACGCCAGAATAACTCAATAGACACTTTTTGTATATTTTGATACTACATTGCAAAAGGAAACATCTTTTCTGTATAATTTCATAGAAAATCTTTTTTAGGCCAAGTTCTTTAATCAAATTACAGCAATTTTGATGATCCAGTTGATTAAACCAGAAAAAGACTAATAAAGGAATATCCATCAAGACCGTGTGAAGCTTCTTTAACAGAGCTGGCATTAGCTATAATGAGCTACATTTATTCTTCAGCTGTGAAACAGCACTCACCTCCTGAATGGTACTGCTTCCTGAGAAGTTGAGGTTGTACTCCCGCTGGACTTCTCGATGGGTGACGATCAGCATGAAGTTTTGATTTAATGACTCCTGCAGGGCCCTGAAATGGTTGAAAGAAAACCAAGAAAATCTGGGATAAGCATGTTATAGCTTGTTTTACAGTTAGATGCAAAAACCCCAGGGTACCCTAAACTCTACATGGACAAGTCCAGGCACAACATTATCATCTCTCTTTTCACTCTTAAATGCAAGGAAGCATGCTGTGAATGACCAAAGGCCATTCCTGAACTCCTTCCTTAATAAGGTGACTGCAGCCTTTAAAGCTCTTCTAATGTTAAGTATTCTCAAAATCGAGAGAGTCACATTATCTTCACAAATATCAGGTATATTTAGCGCTCGTAATGCCATTAATACCAGGCTTGTAAGCATATTGATGACCAGACAAAGTATCAAGCTACAATGCACATTAAAAACTGATGGTAAGTAGAACAAGGCAAAGCATGCTCTCGCTCCTCTAGGGTTACCTGAAGCATAAACCAAACGGAAATTCTTCCGCTTAGTTTCATTCAAAGCACATAAACCCAGCTAATTAAAACTAGAAAACTAACCACAGCAAAATTTCTCATGTGGGTACTGAGCATTTAGAAAAGTTAGTTCTGCTCAAGTTGTTTTAAATGTACATTAAAACACCCTTAATCACATGAATTAAAAAAAAAAAAAATCTTAAGATACAGATTAAACGGGCCAACTATATGTTCATGTTGTGACAAACGGGTTTTGGGGGGAATTTTCCTAGTAACAAAACATCTGGATGTTGAAAAGGCATCCTGTTTGTTTAATTGGGTACAAAATTATGCAGCTATCTACTTTTCAAAATGGAAGGCAGGACTTCTGTTATAGGCACAGTAGTTACAGCTGTGTACAATCTTATACAGGCAACAAAACTGCAGCAACGTTGTAACACAGCTTGGATTTCTAAACAATATTTATGCAGACTGGACCTTTTCAGTGGCATATGGAATTAGATTAGGCTTATTCGATTTTTTTTTTCTTCTTCTCACACACTTTCGAAAGAATGACGGACTCGGGTTTTTTTCCTTTACATCTTCACTGTTCCACGACATTCAACATGCCATTTCTCTTAACAACAAAGGACAAATTCTGTATGCACATGAGCACAGCTGTATTTTAAGATATGAGAAGACAAGAAAGACTGCTAGATTATTCGAGTCCTGATTTGTTAGTTTTAACTTCTGCTGGAATTACTGATCTGCAGTTTTGCTGCTCAGATGGTAAGGAATCCATGCAATACTCACTGGATGCTTTAGCAAGAGATGCACTATTTGCTTTAACATCTCAAGAAGAATTACCTTACAAAAATATCTTCACTCAGCAGCTTAATTTGGATTCTGTGATATCTTACATATAATAATCACACACTACAAAACAAAATCATAAAGCGCTATTTCTCTTCTTTTATGGTTTTGTAATATAGAAGATATAACTTATTGTCAATGAGCTAAGTATGATCGAGTCTACGAGAGACACCAGAAACATAACTGAGGTCACTCATCTATGCTGAACATGAAGTTAGCTGCACTTGTCACAAATCTTGTAAGAAAAGGCCTAAAAAAATTTAAAAATACTTAACAGTCCTTCAAAAGAGAAAAAATGTCTTGAAAATTTGAATGTCTGTTTTCAAAGGTAATTATAATTTGATTAACAATAAGATTTATATTGCCATAACCATATTTTCTTTTGGCAAACGTTCAACAGCAACTAAAATATCCTGCTGTGCTTTTTCAGATTCTGACTTTTTATTTGTTTTCAGCAAATACTGGAGGCAAATGACATATTTAATTGCTCTGAAAACATTAATTACAGCATATGTGAATGGTTCTGGATTCAACACAGAATCACACAAGGCTCTGTTATAACTATTTTTTACTCTATCTGAAAATCTGTATATGCTAACTGATAACATGACTCGTATTTTCACTCTGCAATTAACGTAAACTTAGAATGAAACTGGCTAGTTCGATCAAACCCTCAGTCTCTCAAGGTATGCATGATACACACACTTCAGTACTATCCAAAATATAGTGTGCTAATAAAAAGCATCTGTTCATAGCAAAGGTTTTCCACTTCTCTGTTTCATCTGGATGTGATAGCAGAGACCATTTGGAAAATGAAAAAATACTCTTCAAACACAGTTCATTTAAACAAAGTGCCTTAAAACTAAAAGCCTCAATTTTTGAAGTAACTAACAATTTTGACACCTCTGCTTTTTGAATTTCTAAACACCACAAGCTGAATGTTGTTAACAAGCAAATTCTCAGTACATATCCATAGCCAAATACAGGCAAAGGGGAGGCTGAAAATTAAGCTGGGTAAAATAAATAAATAAATAAATAAAGGCTTTGAAAGTGTTAGCAGTTAAAGTGCATGGTTAATTATTCACCTTTTCCTCAGAAAAATAATATAATGCGGAATATTACTTCTGCTTACACAGAAATGCAGTGGTCAACTGATCCAGTCATTTGAGCTCCTACATCAAAATTTCATATGGTCTGACATCCATAAGACCTGGACCATACACGTTAGAAGGTCAATGGGAGGAGGAACTGATGGCCCACCTGATGGGCCATTTGTGCCAACGCCTCCCTACGCGTACCAGCGTTCCTCTGCTGCTTTGAACACGCAGCTGGACAGCCAGCAGCAGTCCCCTCCCGCGTTCGTTTGCTCCAGCAGCTAGGGATGCAGATTACCCCAAATTATTTGTGCCAATAGAACTCTGCTTCCAAAACATACCTTGCCCTAAAATTGTATTTTCAGCCATGAAGGCTATGATAGAATGTACAAAATACATGTGTTTAAAGGACACTTGTCACTGACAGTAAGCTGAAGCTTACTTTTATTTCTTTTTAGGTGCACATAACTGTACTGAGAAGACTGACTTTGAACACAATGCATATTTCTAAAATTTTGGCTTCAGTGTTTGCAGCAGTTTCATTTTCCTGCCAATGTTATCAGTTGACTATAATCTTCCAAATGAAATATCTGCATTGAAAGAAAAGAAAAAAAGTGGGGGGGGAAATTCAGGCCAAATCTCAGGTCCCATTAAAGTTAAGAAAGATTCTCCCCCCAGCACCAATGCTACCAGAATTTAATTAATCTGAGAATTAATCAGTGGGAAAGTAAAGCCAAATTCTAGAAACAGGACTAGAGTAGGCCACTCTTACCAGCACCATTTCCCCCCTACTGCAAACCCCAGATTTCAAAAGCATTTGCTGATGGGTTACATACTGCCATTACATTTTCTTTTCCTCACTATCCAGCACAGGAGGCAAAGGAACTTGATGGTATTTTTGGGCACCAAACTTCCATTAGGGGAACTCTTCCTACATCCAAAAAGAAGTCCAAGAACAGGCAAAAAAACCGAGACCTGAGCAGAGTCATCGCTCTGACCAGTTCTAACAAGAGAGACTTGGACCAGTTTAGGATTTCGTATGGATTGCCTCCACAGCGGTGGTTATTGGCATTATCACAATGCACAGAAACCTCAGCTGTGGACCAGGATTCAGCTGGGGTTGAAACACTACAATATGCAAACAAAAATGTTCCTCTTTGAAACTTAAATTTCCAGCAACAGAAGTTGCAAGAATTTTTTTTCACTACTAAACTCAAAATATCAAAACTCAATTAAGAGTCTGGAAGGAGTTTATTCACAATCTACTCCATCCAAATTCAACACAGTACAATTTATAAACACAAGTTTAATAAATTAAGAATAGAAAAAATATTTAGCCAAAAAAGGTGTAAATGCAAATAATGCTAGTCTTAAGGGACAGCAACTGTTCAATCAGTCTAGCCACGCTGAAGCAAGATGGTACTAGTGTTGATATTTATTATATTTTAAGCTTCCAGTTCTACTGCTTTTCTATTGTTCTGTAACACTTAATACATAAAATATATTGGCTGTATCTATTGATAGGTGACTGCCTGAATGCTTTAATTTTTTGGCTTTTTAATAGCATTTTTCTTTGAAATTTTAGTAATAAACTTTGAAAGAAAAAATATATCCTGAATGATCAACAAATGCTCCCTTTCATTTCAGTTCTGTAAGTTTTTATGAAATACATTCAGTATTTCCCATTAGGTAATATCTCTCTCAATCACATGGAGATTTCCCCCAAAATCTCTGAATTTTATATAAATAGCTATGACACAAGGTGATTAACATTTCCATTTTAAACTTACAGATTTATATAAGACCATGTCAACAGAAGTCCAAATTTACTGTAATTACAGATTATTTACATTAAAACAAAATAAGAAATCAGTATGTAAATGTAATGTTTGTTGTAGCTAATGCAGCAGGAGGTGGTAGATTAGGTTCAAACAGCAATCAGTTAGCAAATCTGGCTAACATGTAAATGAGCAGAAGCCCTTTTGTTTACATTCTATTGCATTTTAAACTTCAGGATTTTTAAACTGTCTCATGAGCAGATGTGAAAATAAAACATTAATCTTACCATTCTTATTGAAGCTTTCAAAGTAACTAATGCAAGGCACTGCTCCTGTCCAGCTAAACAGACAATACTAATAATTGGAGTTGCAGGTTACATCGTTCTTAATTAACACTCTGCTACAGTTGATAACGTACAAGACACCATGCCACAATCACCACTGCTCTGCAACAATCTAAAACACAGGCATTCAGCAATATATGGACCCATCACTTGAAATATAGGGGTTGTGAGGTTTTTTTCCTAGCCACACAAATCAATATACTTCTTAAATAAGTTACACTTGCTTAGCAAAAACATGTTATTTGCAATAATCTTCAAGGTATGCACCTAGTCAAATAGCTTTTAATTGTTTCGAACTTTCCACTCATTCATCAAGTAATTGCAAATGTCCAGCTGTAATAAAGGTATAATAAAGTATCTAAGACTTTCAGTTATTTAGCAAAAAAGTATAAATACAAAATACATTCTACCCATTAAAATGGCAATCGAAGAAAAAAATTCATACAAAGCATCTCCCAGAACATGCATGATAGAAAAGAGAGACGATTGATCCGGATGACCTAGCTCCATGGGCAGATTCGCATGCCTACGCTTTTGATGCTCCCCTCTTGCATTCTCCTAAACCTTTTTCCTGAACTGGGTATTGATGACTTTCAAGAAGCACCCGAGGCAACAAAGTGAAGGAACTGCACTCTGAGGAAGCAAAGAATCTAATCCGACAAAGCTGGGGGTCTCTCCCCTTGGACAACTACATGATGGGCATTCTTTGGCACCTTTCCTTTCAAGACTGCTTTCCAGAGGAAATCGCGTTCTTCTCCACCCACCTGTCCCATCTGGTAACTTTCGAACATAGTCACTAGTTTCAAGGAGGTCTGACAGTGTTAGGAAGGTCTCAAAGATTGGGTGTAAATCAAGAGCCGGGTAGAAGAAAGGGACCCAAATTACCACCTAATTCAGCAAAAGGCTGCATTATAAGCATAGTATTTTATACACCATCCAGCTGACCTCTTGCCAATGATCTCAGAACTACCCACAGCGTATGATTTCACCTTTCATTTGTTTTTACCTGACTACCAGCTGGAGAACAGAGGCAGGGCAGGCTGGCTACGCACAGGGAAAAAAATTGCATAGGTGCTACAAAACACATGGGAAGAACTGGAGGCAGCATCGGAGTAACTGAGATCACGGGAAACAAGGAGGGAGAGGGATGAGTTACTGCAGCCGCTGGGATGAGGCAGGAATCTACTAGAAATCAGGTTTCACTACGTCCACAGCTCACACAACATATTGTTATTGTTCTGGATATCATGCATGGATACGTTTGGCTTTGCCAAGTGAAATCATGGAAGCAGGGCATGTAACTGTACAGGTGATGTTTGACATTTAAATTTAATCTTTACACCTCAATTTACTACTCTGCGGTAGTAATTCACCGGGCTTCTATTACCTATAAAAGCTTTAGGTATGCCACTGATGAATGAAGATACCTCTACGAGATTTTTGCTTGTTTGAACTGCAGGATCACTTTGTCGTTACATTTGGATGCTAGTTTTAAGTCAGTTCTGGGTTAAGCCCATTCAGTCTGTCACAACAATCTCCAATGCCTACATACCAATACTTTGGAAAAGGACGTTTCAGACACTGTTCTCCCTCAGTGCCAAGAACAGGCACAAATTGGAGTTCATAGAGCTGTTACCAGATTGCTCCGTTCAAGAAGGACATACACATAAAATACCACGTACTGAAATCCCAGGCTTTTCAAATATCACTTTCTGAAGATATTCAAATCACAACTATTTATCTCTAGTTCAAAATAAAAGGCATTTGAAGAAAACGACAGATGAACTCACAAAGTAAGAGGCAAAGTTCCTTAACATCCATTAATAATAGATGTGAGCATGATGCTTTTAAAAATTGTGGGTAACAAACTGATCTGAATAATAACTGACCTAACAGTGGGCAGTAAACAGTGTAACTGGGTTTGGTACATTGCTTCAATTAGATGTGTTTTGATCTGCACTGATGCTTTAATTGGAGGCAAGCCTCCCCTTTCATCTAGAATTTATGACTTCAGGGAGATGATCTAGCCTTCAAATTATCCTTGTTTAAACAGCCACTAATTAATCATCGTTTGCTATCGCAAAGCTACCAACTTTATCTCATAAATATCCAGAACTAATCTCCACTATGAAACAAGTATAAACTGTAAAGGCAACAACCACTTTGATTTTACCAGCAAGTAAAGTTCTTTTAAACTATTCAACCAATAAAAACGCCTAAGAACGGTTTTTAAACAGTTTGTCGTTATATAGTTTATTGCAGTTGCAATAAACAACGTTCTTCAGACCCCAGTTTTCTTTCTAGAATCGAAGACATTCAGATTACAATAGATGGTGACAGCTGGGTAGAAATTTTGATACTGGAATTGGATTTTTTTTAAAAAAAAAAACCAAACAATTAGTATCCACAGTGTTTCTCCACAGCGTTTGCACTGTCCTTCAGCGAGCTGCTTGAGTACAACGACTTCTCGTCCTCACACAGAGCTGCAGCTCCTGCCCGCAGCGCACACGCAGCTCCCCGCTCCCTCTGTCAGTGCTTTCTTTGCTTTATTATCGTTACTTCTATAATTCGTAGCGGCATTCTCCTCTCCTCCACAGCCCGCACGGCGACGTGCCCAGACACCTTTCAGTCACACACCTTTCAGTACCCCCGCCAGCGAGGCGAAGCCGCCAAAGTTCGTTACTTTGTGAGGGTAAAGACGCCGTTTTCCACAAAACAACATTTCCTTTTCAAACCTCAGTAACGTTCACTGACACGTGAATGCTCACCGTCAACTTCTCGGGGATTCAAATCGGTAACGAAAGAGATCCTGCTCAGTCAGAGGACATTAATTATTCAGCCTATCTACGTACATTTTAGAAGTCCAGCAAGATTAGATAAAGTAATACAACCACTATTTCAGAAAGAAAATTCTGATCTGCTGGCAATGATTTATACCAGTTTACAATAAGTGAACCAACATAATGTGGTAACTCACGAAAGGCCAGCTCCCATTCCCACAGAGACTAGATTTTTGGTAAATTCAAGTCATATCTGGGAGGTGTAAAAATCTGCAGGTACCAAAACAGTTCCCATACCACACCAAGGTTCTAAAATAAACTTCCCAACCTTCTTCTCCACAATGAAGTGCTGAGGTCTTTCATCCCAACACTTACGAGAGCAGTGAAAACACTTTGTATTTATTGATTGCAGGTTTGTGCAAGCATACGTGTGGCTTTGCAAAAACTCTTTAAAACCAAATCATACAAGTAGAATTGATGGCCAAAAGACTTACCCAGAATGACTTGAAGAAGGAGGAGGCAGGTCAGGTGTTAGAACATAAAGACTATTATTTTTTGGCAAGTGTAGAGTTTTTAAAACAGTCTGAGGGGAGAAAAATCATTATAAATATAAAACATTCACCAATTTTGATGTATTATTTTATCTCTCTTAATTACCAATACTTATTTACAATACCACCAAATATGTTGTTTTGAGATATACTGTTAACTTCATAACATCGTTTCAGTAGGTGAGCCGTGTTATATATAAAACCAACACAAACTAAAGCGCTCTGTCCTGATTTTTTTCGCAATGTGTCAGTGTAAGAGTTCCTTGTGTGCCACCCCAGACCTCTAACACTGTTTGCAACTCACAGTTCTGGCACTGTAAACGCCACGCGCAGATGGACAGTTTGGAACTCTGAATTCAGTTAACTGAAAACACACTTGAAAACTTACACTATCGTCTACATCTCCAGTCTTCCACCCTTTTAACAGCATTTTCGATGCAGGAATCTGAAGTTCGTTTTCTAGAATATGTTTGATATCTCCTAAAGAGAAAACAAACAAAAAAATAGTATAAAATATACACACTTACTGATTCATTTCAAACAGTACTGAGTTATAGTTAAAAAACAAGAGCATAGTAAATGAAAAACATTTTTAATCTATGAAACCTTTTTTAATCTAGTTACCCTTGTAACATACACTTCAAATAGTAAAGGACAAATGAAGCTAAAAAAAAAAGAAATCACATAAAGCATGAATGATTGGAGAATTTGACGAATTGGACTTATATTTGAATAGTTTTACATTGTGCTAGGCGCATACATTTGCAGATGCATCCTATTTGGAGCAATGGACTTTGCCAGGAATAAAGGGTGTGTGTTTTTGATACCCAATTCCATTATCAATAATCCTGATATACAGAACTGGAGCATTCACACAATTTAACAGCTCTGACAGCTTTTTCTATGTTTTGCACATTTAGATGCTCTCTTCTCCCCGCAGTTACTATAGCCATAAAATAATTCAGACTGGAAGGTACTTCAGGAGGTCATCTAGCCCAAGCCCAGCTCAAAGCTCTCATTAAACCAGTTTAGGCAAGGCTTTGTCCAGCTGACTCTTGAACGCATCTAAGGACGGAAGTTCGACAACTTCTCTGGCCAACCTGTTCTGGTAGTTCTCCACTCTCACAACTAAACAAACAAGACACCTTGTATCTCATGGGAATTCTCAATGTTGCAAACTGTGTCCACTGCCTCTCATCTTATTATGGTGCACCTCCAAGAGGAGTCTGGCTCCATCTTCTCTGCCTCCTCCAGTCAGGTAGCTGCAGACAGAGGTAAGGTCTCTACCTGTCCCCTTCTCTTCCCCAGGCTGAAGAAGTCTGGTTCTCTGTGCCTCTCCTCCTCTGTTGCCATGTGCTCCGGTCCCCTGACCACCTTGCTGGACCCTGCTGGACTCACTGCAGAGCATCAGCATCTGTCTTGTTCTGGGGACCTCAAAACTGGATGCAGTGCTCCAGATGCAGACTCACAAGTGCTGAACAGAGGGGAATACTTATTTCCATGGACCCACTGGCTATAGTTTTGCTAACACAGCCTGCCTAGGACGTGGCTGGCCTCCTTCACTGCAAGGGTGTGCTACTGATGCACCCTTGCATCCCCTTTTTATAAAGTTGCTTTGTAGCCTGTCAGCCCTCAGCCAGTTATCAGATGGAATAACATGGAATTATCCTGTCTCAGACGCAGGACTTCAACTTTGCTTTCTTTGAACTTCATGAGGCTCCTGTCCGCCCATTTCTCCAAGCTGTCCAGGGCCCTCTAAACAGCAGCCTTGCCCTCCAGAATATTAACCCCTTTCTCTGATCTGGTATGCTTTGTGAACTTGCCAACAGCGCTCACTTAACAATCAGTTTTTTAATAAAAACATTAAGCAACGCTGGCTCCAGGATCAACCGCTGAGGGATGTCCCTAAACTAGTAACTGTTCACCAGTCAGACACTGAGCCCAGCTGTCCACGCAATTATCTACCTGTCTTATCAGTCCACTTCTCCAGTCCTTATCTTAACAATATGACTGTAAGAATACTACAGCAGAGTGTGTCAAATGCCTTAGTAAATTCAAACTGACATCCACAGTTCTTCCCTTGTCCACAGAGCCAGTCATCAAATCATAAAGGGCAAATAACTTTGATTAGGCACAATTTGCCCTTAGTAAACCCATGCTGGCTGTTCCAAATCATCTTCTTTTCTTGTCTGTGCCCTGAAAGGACTTCCAGAAGGATTTTCTCCATAATCTTCCAATGGACCAAGTTCAGCAGTTGCCACTGAACAGTAGGCTCGCTTTCTCCTTAGCCTTTCTTTTCATGCTGATGTGCTTACAAGAAGCCCTTCTAATACCTCGGTGGTTTCAGTTCCACTTGAGCTTTAGTGTAACTCAAAACCTGCATGCTCTGGGCAAAATCTCTATATTCCCCCTGGGTAACCCCATCACTACCTTCCACCTTCTGCGCACTTTCTTTTTGCATTTAGCTTAGTCATAAATTCTTTGTATTCTTCCGTGCTGGCCTTCTGCCATGCTTGCTCCTCTGCATGTTGGAAGGGACTGTTCCTGTGCTTTGAAGAGGTTGTCCTTGAAGATCAACCAGCTCTCCTGGGCCCCTTTGCCCTCAAGGCAGTCTCTCATGGGATCCTGCCAAGCAGATCCCTGAAAAAGCCAAAACCCTTCTTTCCTGAAGTCCACGGCTGAAATTCTGCTATTCGCCTTGCTGATGTCTCTCAGGACTTTAAACACAAGGCTGCCCCCAATCTTCATATGCCAAGACACAGACAAAAGCTCTACACTGACTGCTTCTGCCCTACAACGTAATCATTTATATCTGAAAGAAGTCAATTAGAACAGAAAAATAAAATACTATGGCAGCAAACTTCTGATTTGATCAGACTTTTATATCTGCTTTGCATGGATGCAACTCCGAGCAGTGCAGCGGAAGCCATGAAACACTCATCAGGCACTCAGACTCATCACCACGAGGTGGCACCAGCCAACAGCACATCCAATGCTAAAAAAAGCCGATAAGGACCTGAAGTTTCAATTTCAAAATTTCACCACAGACATCAGGCTGCAGCACTGAAAATTGTTTTAAATCAACTGTTTCTTCATTTAGCTCCTTGTTTTGATCTGTATTGAGTCTTCACTAAAAAGAAAAAACCAAACACAAAGAAACCCAACACCGCTTTGCCCTTTGCAAAACTAATTAATTCACAGTTCAGGAAATATGAAAAATAGCATGCTCTACAATACTAACAACAGCGTATTTCTAACATACTGCTACACGATGCATCAGTTTTACGATGAAGACAATAAAATTTATAATGGAAATCTTAATTTGCACAAACAAGTCAGACAAAAATTGAGAAAAGAAGAACGCAACAATGCCTTTCACACTGGAAAGAATTCCTCTAAATCTTGTCACTAATCCTACACAGAAAGAGATGCCATACAGATTTGAAAAGGAAATGTCAAGATCATCTGCTTATTAGTAGATAGCATCTACATTAATCCTACCCCAGATTATTTTCATGCCTCAATCGGTAATCTACATTTTGTTTCTGAAGCAAGTTCATAAGAAAATGAGATTTCAAAATAAATATTTGACAGATCACTAACTTTTACAATGGATTAGTGAAATTTTGCTTTTTTAAAGCTGCAAAGAGATTTGAAAATGGGTTAGTAGCTGTGAAGGTTGCAATTTCTGGAGGATTTTTTTCTTCTTTGAGGGGTTTTGTTTTGCTTTGTTGTTTTTTAAGATTTGGATTTTTGGGATTGACACTTTTTTGTTTGTTTTTGTTTTAACAATTTATCACAATGGTTTTCATTTCATTTTTATAAATCCTTACCAACTGTGGAGTTGTCTTCAAGTACTACATCCACATTTCTGTCTCTGTACTCCACCCTGAAGTCAAGCATTCGAGGTTGTCTTTCCACTATTTGTCTAGATGGCACTACATGGCGAAACGCTGAGGATGAGGAAGGAGTTGAAGAAGCTGCTGCAGAATGACTTGCGGGTCCATATGCTGGTCCATGTAAAGTCTCTCCACCATACTCACTGAAAGATACGCAGATAAGGTTTAAACAGAACAGCTTGATACATTTAAACAAAAGCTAGCAAAGCAAAACGAACAGTATTATTCACTTACTATGGTCCACAGCACACGTCTTGAATAAACTACGTTGTCCTATCTGAAAATACTGTTTTATTAATAATTAGAAAATAACTTTCATATCAGCAATGTTAACAATTCAGTGACCCAGAAGTGCTATAGGAGAACATCTAATGAGCAGGCGTGCAGGAGCTGGGAGGGAGCACAGCCAGGCAGCTAGCCCAAGACGGCCAATGGAAATATTCTATACCACAGCCATCAGGCTCAGTTTATTAATGGGGGTTGGCTGGGGGGCAGGAATCTGCTCTGCTCTTTGCCTCAAGTTTGAATCCTCTCTTGTCCAGGAGTTCAAACTTCTCTGGGAGTTGCTAAATTTGCGAAATCCACGAGTTCCGGGTTCCACAGTTGCTGCTTGGGGACTGGCTGTGAATTGGTCATTAGGTGGTGAGAAAAGTGTGTTTTGAATATTCATTATTATCATTAGTAGTATTTACTTTGTTGCCTTACTAAACTGTCTTCATCTCAACCCACAAGTTTTACCTTTTGTCCATTTCTCCTCACCATACCGCTGGGGGGAAGGGGAGGGGTGAGCGAGCGGCTGTCTAGTGCTGAGTTGCCAGCTGCCAGGTTAAACCATGATAGATAACAAACATGCATTTAAGCCATCATTTCAGTCTAAAGTTCACTAGGTAGATAATATCAGAATTATCTTGAGAAGAAGCATTATTTCCTGTTCCAGGAGTGCTGTGACCGTATAAAAATTGGCACCATGGCAACCACCAGCTTTCTACATCACTGGGCTAGAATCACATGGAAATGAGAATAAGAAATAAAGCTTAAAATACTGCATGTGTATTGGTATTTTTCAGTACTAAACTACTGAAAAACAAGTCAGATATTAAAATAGTTATGTACTTAAGGTAAATAAATTAATATAATGAGGTACATATTGCAAAAAATATCTAAAAGTGCAACAGTAAAGCAATGCTGAATTCTAGCTTGCCTTTAACTTCAAAATCCTTCAAGCCTCCTGGACATTCATGTAAGGATGTCTCCATACCTGGCTCAAGGATACATACAGCATTACAGGTCAGAACAAATTGGGAAAACCTCACTACCCAGAAGCACTTCATCCTCCTCATTGAGCCTCTCCAAAAGAAGCATGTAACTGGGATTAGAAACAAAGGTAACAAAACATGAAATTTAAGGAACATTATCCAGGCAAAAAAACCCTACGACGTACAGAAATTAAATCTGAAACACAAGCAACTTCACAGGGCAAGCCTAGAGCTTTGTCTTGTAGATGTTCTCATCAGGAAGATTTTCTGTGTCAGGCAGTTACAGGATATCATGATGGAGGACGCAAGCTAAGAAAATGCATGCACTAAAAGAACGGAAAGCGAGCAAAGGATTTAGGAAATGTGGAGACGTAAGTTGTCTTGTTTCTATTCTTAAACAGAACTTACTTGAAAAATGCATTCTACCCTTTCTGAAGGTACCATGAGACCTGTCAATGGAAATCTTTCTTATAGCAAGTCAAATCTGTCATCTACAGGCGGCCTGAACTTACAGAATGCATAAATGTGGATGGCACACATGTCACAGAAGTGCAGAAGCTCTACAGAGCTATTGCAAATCCCATCATTGTGCCTTCCACATTTGAAAAAACAACCAATGTGTTATGCTTGTAAAATAAGGGGCTCCTTCACTGCTCACATCAGCAAGCTCAGAAGGATGCAGTCCCAGCTACAAAGACCCATGCTTTGAGTACAAGAAACAGTCTTATTTTCAGGCTTTAAAATAGTATAAATACTGAGTGATATGTTATCATCTTAAATCTGATGTCCAACTATAAATTAAGTCATACAACCATTTTGTTAACAGACCTAAGAAACGATTAATATCCTGATTCTCAGGACTGGATTTTTTTTTTTTTTAACAATACAACCAAATTATAAAACAAAACATTTTTTCCCTTCAATACATTAACATACTTCAAGTCCAGTTGTATTAATTCTATTTGATTCTACCACAAAAGGCATCCTACATATCTGACTGGCAACCTCTAATTGAACATAAGAAGCCTCACATCAGTAAAGAAAGCCTCATCCAAAAACCACTGGAAACCAGGCTTCTAAGTCTTCTGAGCCTCCTTCTAAACCACTTCCATTGGAAGAAAAAAAAAAAAAAAAGAGAGAAAAAAAAAGAAAAAAATATTTGAGCCACATTTGACTGTATAATCATTTCTAAAAATGAATAAATTCGTGTTGAAGAAAGCTGTAAGTGGACACTGGACCAGCTTGTTATCCAAGTCAGGCATAACCACTCCCCAGCTCCTTCCCCCTGACCAAACGGTTCCAAGCATTCTGGTATTTTGAATATAAATGCTTTGAGGTCAGGACTTATTAAAAAAGGTAGAAAGAGTGCTCAACACATCCGAGACTTGATCTCAAATGGACTACGTAGGCCTTACCATAAACAAACACCTAGTAACTTTACTGAGCAAAGGAGGTTTTATCCAGAATCAAAAACTGACTCTACGCAATGATAGCTTTAGTAAGTATTGACAGAGATGCCACAATACCACTTTACCTATATTATGTATTTTCTTTCATTATTAAAATAATCTTTTAAAAATAGTACATTGTATGTTTTTCTAAACAAAATTTTAAACACTTTTTTTCTGCCTCTCTCAAGTAGCTCAATTCCTGTTCTGCTGTTTTCAATAGCCTCATCAGCACTTAGAAGCTCATGCTTCAGTGACTTCAAGATATCCAGGCATCAGTACAGAAGCCAAAATTTAACATAGAAGCTGAAAGAAAATCAGTAAAGCTACTTTTAGAAGGGAGCAACCTTACTTTATCTAACACAGTATCTGCTGCCTGTAATTCAATTTAAAGAAACAAACAACCAATCTACAAAAATGCAAACATTTTTTGGCCAGGGACAGGGAAGCATGGAATATTAATACCTGTAAAAATGCATAAGGAAAAAGAAAATACTTAGCCAGAAACATCTGTGGATTTGCCTTGCAAATTTTTAGATCTTTGAAATTTAAAAAATATATTAAAAAAAAAAAATCAATAAAATAAAAAAATCCAACCCCCACACAAACCAAGTCCTGACATTCAAGAAAGCATACCAAAACCCAGACTTCGTAAGGAGATAACCCTGAATTCAAAATAAATAGTAAGTTGAATAGGTGTTAGCCAGTCCTCCATCAGCATGGGGAAAATTGAACGTTAAGTCAGCTTTGCCAGGAATTGAATTTCTGACTCCAGAAACCGCTTTAAAAGGAGAATGACATCATCATCTTGGGAATCAGGAACAAAAAATGTAACTATGACCCTGCATCATTCTCTGTGGGTACTACTCCAGTCTTCTGTGCTTACCTTTGTAGAATGCCGTTTTCTTGTGGTATTACACCATTTATAGCTGCCTGAAAAGAGAAAACAAATTTTGAGTCAAGCATACATAGCAACAAAAATAACTCAGAACTTCTATAATATGTCTGAAAGACCGATTAGCTTGCTTTAAAATATGCCATCAAATGTCCTCCGTTCAGCAAATAGTCTTGGTAAACGATATTGTCATTAAAGTACCTGCAGAAATATATAAGTGAAAACAAACATGCAGTGAAGCTCACGCTCCTATACGCGTACGATGGACTTCCCAGGTGGAATGCGTGGGAATAAACTGCACGGTCCACGCTCAGTAACTCCAGCACGTACGCACAGTGAACATATCGCTTTCAAACACATCGAGCTAACCGCGCACAGCCAAGGCAGCCAGGCAGGACGTACACAGAAAACCTAATGTTCTGCAGCAGTATCAGACCTGCAGAAACCCTGCAACCCTGCACAGCTGCACACAGATGCCGCATGTTGCGAGCCAGATGTGTTCTCGAATTGTTGAATTCCACGCAAGCAGCTCCTCAGCAGCGCCCATGGCTCCATCACACCTACGCCTTCCAGACAACCTGCCTCTGGTTCCCACCCACAAATACCACATCTCGCCTCTCAGGAGCCCTCGTGCCAGGGTATCACAGAAACTGCTACCCCCAGAATTCAAACAATCTCCAGGTAGGAAAGGAAGTATTTTTTTAAGTAAGGTTTACGTGGTTAAATATCACCCCATGCTGTCACGATCATCAGAATAAACAAAATATTACTTATAGGTGTGTAAGTAGAAACCTGGCAAGCTGCATTCAGATTTGGTCTTACTTGAAATTACAGAGTAACTATCTATTAAAATATCCTTATGAATTCTCTTACTAAAATGCGTTATTTTTAAAATAGCCAGAACATTCCCCTGTTGCAAGTTCAAGATCCCACTTCTGACAAAATTTTCTTAGCCTGTTACAGCTTTTCTCCATTCTGTATCGCAGAAAGTTTTGATGCATTTCCAGCCATCTGAAGCCATAGAAGTTTGTATAAACTTTGAAATTATATGTAAGTCATGATGAGGGGAAAACTTGGAAAGCAAATAAGACTCTCTTCAGCAGTATTTCAAAGACAACTTGTTTCAGACTGCTTTATACCACTAAAGAAGTGTTTAAAAATCATCTCATTGCTAGGATTTTTTAAATTTGAGGGGCAGTAAAAGTGATACCACATAAGCTGGTGAAGATGGCTTACACATTTTGCTCCTCTGCTGGTTAAACTTTGTTCTGATTATTGTTAGCAGATGTGGGAGTAAAGACGTCAGAACGCTACCTAACCTCAGACTTTCAATCTTAGCCCAGCAGTGGACTGAGCAGGTGGAATAGCATGGGAGGGAATTCGACAAGGAATAAGAAAGAATTCAAAAAAATCTAGAGACCAAAAAAACCAGACAACAAAAGACTAGTTCTAGTTCTGCTCTTTGATGATCTTTATAACCACTATTGTATTCACAGGTACATATTTATTAGGTTTAACAGTGAGATTAAAGATAGTGTGGAGCATTCCACTAATCTCCATTTTCTGCTGTACCAGCAGCGATTCATTAATTTCTACTATCACAACATCTAATATCCATTCTCATATGTCAGATCTACCCGACCTGTTAGCCAGAATACCTCGTGAAAGTGTGTCTGGTCCCTGAGATGAAGAAGAGAACGCTGACATTTAGAAGCTCATCGATTCCCTGGTACTCCAGGAGGACGAAGACAAATACTGCACTGAACTCTGTACAGTCATCATCTACCAACATCATTTTTACAAACTGGCATTAAAAAATGCACCTTAAGTGCCTATTAAACACATATCTTGATATTATCTAGTTTTAAATGCTATGCTTTCCTTTGCTATAACTATATAAAAGCATGATTTTTTACAATTTCTATTAACAGTTAAGGCTACATAAAGTCAAAAAGCAGTTCTGCTGAGCTCAACTAAGTAACTGATCTTGCAGTAAGATTTATCATGTATTTAGAGATAAAAATTGCATAAATAATAGCAAAAAAAAAGCAGATAAGCAAAAGGGTCACAGGTATCCGTAAGCCACAGCAACCACCCATAAAGCCGTATCAAATTACAGTGAAAACAAAGCTTCCTACCAGATGAGTTTTTAAATCAGTTTATCCACTCTGCATGGTAATAATCAGTGGTTTCTTTTTAACAACACGTCTCATTTATCATCATTGTGGTTTGTGCAGTCATACGTAGCTCTTGATCATGTTCATCTAACAAACCTCCAGGAAAAAGTGGGAGGTTTTGGTTTGTTTGTGTTTGTCTGGATTGGTTCCCGCCCCACCATACTCTTCAGCAACATCCATGTCATTCCTGTCAATCAACAAGTAAAGTTGGTTGAAAGACAAAAATATCCTTTATTTTGCATCTGTAGGATACAGAGAGCAAACAATAGGGTTTTGTACCACAGGACCAACACTCAATGATCTGCTGGTGCAACAGAATTCTCTTTATTCTGAAAAAAACAAGCTGCTTCAGCTGTGAAGAAGTACAGCACAGCGTGGTATTTCCACGTTTTTTCTGTCAAAGCTCACGTCTCAGGGGATTAAATCAGCTCAAACTTCTTCTAAGCCTAGTTAGAGGGGTTAAATATGATAGAGGCTTCAAGATATTTTCTTTAAAATTGAATAACTCGCTTGTTCAAATCCCCAGTTTTATAAACTTGATGACACTTAAGAGGCACAGCAGTAAGAAAAAACAGCAGCAGCATTATGTACTTTTTTGATGGAAAGACCTCTATTAACCACACTGTAAAAATAAAGAGTCTGGACACTGTTTGTTAAGCAAGATGGAAGACCAAAAATTATGTAGACGGCAAATGGTAGCCAGTGCACATGTAGATATTGCATAAATATTAAATACCCATGTTCTTACAAGACATCTATAAGTAGACCCTGCAAAGAAAATAAGAAAAAGGAACAACCATCTGCTTTAGAACTTCCTAGGGGGAAAGTCGTGACTATAAAGAAAAAAAAGGAAAAAAAAAAATAAAGAACAAGTTATTAAGGCAAGATCTGTTCCAGTCTGCTCTTCCCCAGCCTCAGTCCCCTTTGCAAGATGATCAGGTCTCTATGGTTAAGCAAACATTCAAAGATATAAAATTTTTCTGTCTTTCCAAACAGGGATCATTTGATCATCAAAAACAGCCTGTGTAATTACTATACAGTAATAAAAAAGATGTATTACCCTTGAAACTATTTTAATAACAGGTGCAGTAAATCTATTGATGAGTGATTAAATACAGTTACATGCTTACGCTGTTCTCACACTGTGCGTACCCACGGCTGTCACTGCTGGGTACTGGGTATCACAACTTCAACAGATAGTTTACCTGTTCTAATGCTATCACTATTTAAAGAGTGAAGCTTGCCTTCAGTGGAAAATTATAGGGCTTTTAAGATCCCCCCCCAAGCTAAGAATCTTTCGTGTGTCTCAGTGCTACCCATATACAAACTCTACTGTAACACTGTTCCAACGTGGAACAGAGGCATCAAAGCGAGGACATAATTATTCAAACAACTACGTGGCCCACAACTTATTTTAGGAAATTATAAGCCAAATGTGGTTTTCTTGATTTATACATTTTGATTAGAGATATTAGTTACCTATTAAGAAATTTGTAAATAAACTGTTTCAATTTCTGAAGCCCTGCATGACGTGATCTAATTGGACCTGCTTTGGCCAGACCAACATCCAGAAGTAACTTCCAATCTCAAGTACGCTATGACTCCATCATCCAACAGTATAGGATATATCAATAAACAGCACTGTGAATCCAGTCCATTTAAATGAATAGGAAGACAGCAATATGATGCACCATTGAGTGCCAATTACAAAGGCTCAAAGTAACAATACTTTTTTTGGTGTTCAGCAGCAAGCTTCCAGTATCAAAATACATTAAATCAAACTTTTTCGTTGTTTCCCCGCAAACATAGAAACAATAAATAGAAATAAATAGAAAACAATAAAGCAACAGGGTTAATAAAAGGTTACTAAATTCATTAATAGTTTGGGCAACCCAGAAACTGCAGTATTCCGTAAACAGACTGAAATTATTTAAGTGCCTAAAAAACACTATGAGGCAGACTGTGAAATTTAAAGCCTTTCCTCAAGGAAACATCAACTTAAAATAGGTTCGTCAGTTCTGACTAAATGTGACTATTTTTTTAAGAGTACAAATCAGTATTAGAGAGAAAAAACAAGAACCATCATTTCTTAATAACCTGATGAAGCAACAACATTGATGACTTCTCTCAAAATACACAGTTACAGTATTACAGTGCCTCTCATCCCAGCAGAATGAGGGATCCTATGAATAATTAACAAAGTGTGATATTTCAGATAGCACAAACATTCAACTCCTGAGTTTAAAATACTCAGTGGTTATCACTAAGTTTGAAGACGGACTGGATTTGCCCATCATATTATTTAAAAGCAGATGTCTACATAAACTGATTGTCTATTTAAACGAGGTGGGGAATTCCTTCCTCTTCATGAACTACAGATGGAAGGTGTTTCTTAAATCTCCAGAATGTAAACGTGACATTGAAACGAAATCTCTTAACAGTTAAAAGGAGGCCCAGGCAAAAGCGCAGCTAAAGGCTTTTGTGATGGGTGAGGTGGGAGAAGATCTTCCTCCATGCCCACCTCTTGTTCCCTCTTCTTTCCAGTCTCCATACTACACAGTGGCGTTGGGCTGACAAATACAGACCCTGCCCTGGATATACATCCTTTAAAATTTTCCCCATTCAAACCTCTGCCCCAATGAAGAGCAAGAGCTTTTACAAAGCACAACACAGAATCAACTTTCCAAAACAGAGTATTAGAAAACACATCTCCACGCAAAAGAAGATGGCAAGTTCAAGCAGCATGATGCTGGAAGAACAACCCTTTCAGAAGCAGAGGCTAGAGAGATGCAAATACTGTGCATGTGTGAAAGCTGCATGAGTTTCACTGAGATAAATAACCGTATCAGCTTAACGCAACC